CCTCTCAGTTCTAATGTTTCTTCAAGTAGTTTATCTAATTAGGACAGTTCCTCTTTCTGGATAAAAAGTCATCCTCATTCTGCATGTGGCAACTATTTGGGAATGGAATAAGAGCGTTTTCCTTGATCCAAGAACAAAGTGGAATATTTGATAAGGCTGTAGCCATGGATGTCTCCTCATTCACAGACATGTATGATGTAATGATGTGGCAGACTGGAGTTATATAAAATGCTCCTCTAACTGTGTACCAGGCCGATCTAAAGAGATGTTGGTCAGCAGCTGCCTTCTGTAACTCTAAGGAGACTAAAATGATCATTTCTGTCAGAATCGGTTGTCATGTCTCCTGGTTATTCAATACATAAACATTATGAGTTGCTATTCAAAGAGTTTGTCCCAAGTGATCTCTTCTCAGGAAAAGAACCGGACAGATAAAGCTTTAAGATATAAACACAGAGCTTTCATAACAACATAGTATCTTCGCCCGTTTTGAACCTGAGATCTTTTACTTGTAGCAAATGTTATAGAAAATAGATAGGGTCGATCCATCAGCACATAGAAGAACATTTAAGAGAAGAGCGATCTTTTCTCTGACAGTTTATGTCATGGCAAGCGGAGTTTGAGGCCCAGTGTTTCAGTGCATAGACTAAAACTTTATATCATGATCCGCTGCTTTAAACTTTGGCTTTTTTTACATTTTACTTTTTGGTGGTTTATATTAATTACTGCTTGCTATTAAAGTGACATTTTGAACATTTTTATGACTTAAACATCATTTAATAACAGCGGTGGAGAGTAACAAAGTACATTTACTGTATTACTGTACCTAAGAACTTTTTCGAGTATCTGTAGTTTACCTAGATGACGTCATACTGTACACGTCATCCACGAGTGTCAGCTACCATTAATTCGTCCTGGAAGATGTCTAGTGCTGCTACCACAGATGATCTCGCTCTCCAAATGGAATTAAATTATTCAGATTATAGCCGAATGAGTCCTCCAGTCCGCCGCTTTGTTTTAAAAAATATAAATATATAAAATATAAGCGTGGATGTCTGGGGGGCAGTGATTGGCCTCCATGTTCTGAATGCTGGCGTACCATAAAGAATAAATGATGAACAGTTTAGTTTGTGCCTTCAAGTCGTTGCCCATAGGAAGACATTACTGAATATAACCTAACGGAATATCTTCAGAACGGCTCCAAATAACACAAAACTCATATGGGTGAGAAGAACATGATGGAATAATGTAAAATCAAGAGCCCAATGTAAAAAAAAAGGGCGTTCCCCTTTAAGGGCTGGTTATCCTCCTGCAGCAGTGTGTCGCAGTGAGCGTGACGCAGACATTTTAGATTTATGCTCAATTTTGAAGCGTGGTCTGTGCTATTTTATTCCACACCACAACCAGAGGTGTAAAGTTACGAAGTACAAATACTTCCTTACTTTACACTTTTTACTTTACTCCATTACTTATTTTACCTCCTACATAAAAAGCTCATTTTATTTCAGTGTTAAATTCTGTTAAAATAACAGATCATTGAAATGTCTCTGGACCTTTACTGGTTGATGATTTTCTTTATTCGGACCCCGCTAGTTTTTAATTGGTTACCCCTGGTCTATGCCATGCTACAATATCGTATTCAGAAAAAGATGTTGAAATGTCTGAAAGGTCGAACACAGGCGAGAGCGTATAGGGAGACGGAGA